TTGGGGTGGGTGGCTCGATCCGTGCCAGGTGCAGGATCTGCTGGCTGGGTGCTGGCAGGCTTGCACCTGGAACGGGCACCGTAGCCAGCCCGTGCCCCTTTAAGGGCTCCAGGGCTGGGAGGGGGGCAGACAAGTTTCCCTGGTGGTGCCCAGAGTGGCCACCAGGGAAACCTGGGGAGGGCTAGCCTCCCACTAGTTCGAATTAAGTGGCTACACAGCCCTTAATTCGAACTACTTAATTCGAACTAGGCGTTAGTCCTCGTAGAATGAGGTTTACCTAGTTCGAATTAAGCGTGCCGCTAGTTCGAATTAAGTTTGAACTAGCAGTTCGCGTGTGTAGCGCCTATCAAAGTTAATTCGAACTAACGTCTGTTAGTTCGAATTAACTTTGTAGTGTAGACATACCCTATTTGCTTATCGGATAGTCAACTTGTCCTTCATATCCCTATAATGAATATGCTAGCATTTCTTTCAGACCAAATTTATATCAGTTTAAAAGCGTCCACATAGCCTTTTGCACCATCTACATGTTTTGTTAATCTTTAAAGTGCTACTAGACTATTTGTAGTTTAAGTTTTTCCTGTTAGAGACTAACACATCTACTCCTCTGATTTTAAAATAACTTTAGTTATGCAAGCAAAGTTGCACCAGTTTATAATCCTCTTGCTATGCCCAGAAATCAACCACGTGTGGATAGAGAGAAGATCAAGGAGACTACCCCTTTTCTGTATACATTTGGAGTTATGCCTGAGGGGAATCCAAGAAACCACCTGCCAAACAAAGTTAAAATGATACTGGCTACTTCCGCCACTTTAGAGCAGCAAAAACACAGATTCTTCTTACATAAATTACATATCTTTACCAATAATCAGCAACATCTTAAGGAATTTGTTTAACAGTGAAGAGATTTCCTGTAGCCAATTAACCTTATTTATACAAGAAAGAAAACAGACGCCTCCACCAATAAAATGAGCCTTTCCTTTTGCTAGTATAAGAAATGCCATAAAATAATGTTCCTTTTGTTTTTGATAGTCACAGCACAAGATGAAACTCTTCGATACTCCTTCATGGAATTTCTAGCTATTCTTACAAAAGCATGTTCATTAGTTTGGAAAGAAGAAGACAGAGGGGACATGATAGCATTTTTCAGGTATCTAAAAGGGTGTCACAAGGAGGAGGGAGAAAACTTGTTCTCCTTGGCCTCTGAGGATAGGACAAGAAGCAATGGGCTTAAACTGCACCAAGGGAGGTTTAGGTAGGACATTAGGAAAACATTCCTGTCAGGGTGGTTAAACACTGCAATAAGTTGCTTAGGGAGGTTGTGGAATCTCTATCTCTGGAGATATTTAAAAGCAGGTTAGACAGACATCTATCAGGGATGGTCTAGATGGTACTGGGTCCTGCCATGAGAGCAGGGGACTGGACTCGCTGACCTCTCGAGGTCTCTTGCAGTTCTAGTGTTCTATGATATGCTTATCAACATACTTAGATTACAGGCTGTTTGGGGCAGAGGTCATCTTTTTGTGCTGTGTTTATACAGTGCCTAATACAATGTCATCCTGGTCCATAACTAGGACTGATAAGTATTCTCACAATTCAAACAGCAAATAACTTTTTGCTCTCCATCTTCCATGCCTCCAAAAATCAATCATCAATATATACTTTAATAAAAGGTAAACATTTCTGAAGACAGCATACAAACAAAACAGAAGGCACAAAACTATTAGATGCAGGGCAGAGACTAGTCTGGCAATCTCACAAAACATGAGAATGTGAAACTATTCCTATGGGTGGTGGTTAAAATTCCCAAGTTTACAATCTACCTGTGTTCCTTTCATAGCTCATTATTAATCATGAACTCTTTGGTCACCATTTTAATTCCCCAAATATATACTGTATGTAGAAGCAAAGAAATGCAGCAATATAAATAATATTTAGCAGAAAATCAGCACATTACAGATGATACACACACATCCAAATACAGCCCCTTGGGGCAGAGAAGGGGGTTGTACATGTGTACATTTTGTCTGTAAATGGGTGATAGGAAAGGAATCACGTGAGGATTATCTATTCTGTTCACTCCCTTTGGGGCATCTAGCATTGACCACTGTCCGCAGACAGGATACTGGGCTGGATGGACCTTTGGTCTGACTGAGCATGGCCATTCTTATGGCCGAGGAAAGGGCAATATTGATTAAAGCAGTGATCGGCAACCTAGGCTAGTGAGTGGGCCACATGAGTGGTCATCCATCATCTCAGTGGGCTGCAAGATTGTCATAACCAAGACAGTCTCCCAAGGTGCTTATTTAGTTGGGACTGGTCCTACTTTTAGCAGGGGGGTGGACTTAGATGATCTTCTGAGATCTCTTGCAACACTAGGATTCTATGATGGGGTAGAATTGTTAAAAGTATGGCTATGGCCTCTTCAAATTTTGGAAGTCAGGAGATATATGTCCACACAAAGCACAAGAGCTCTCAGGCTAAATAAAGTGAGCTCCTCTACTCAATGATGTCACTTTCTAGGACAGTGAGCCTCAAGGGTAGTAAACCTCCAGCCCTTCAGGAGTGTTCTCATGAAAAGCAATGGTTGTGAAAAAAGAATAAAAAAATTCAGTCATGGTTTACGGTCCTGATCTAAAGATTGTCCACAGTCCTCCTTCTACACACAGAATAAAAGTGCAAACACACAAACTCAGATTAATCTAAAGAGAAAGCCATGTCCCTGCCACTAAATTGAGTATTTTGAATGCAATGCTTCGGACTAAGGTATACTGCGCCAGTGTAAATTCTGTCTATTATGGGCAGGGTGTTACAATGGCATAGCTATAGCAGTGCTAAAAACCCGGTGTGCAGAAGGCCTGAGTAGTAATCATCATGCCCTATAGGAAGTGAGCACAAGATCAGGCCCTTAAGATTTTAAGTGTTCAAATTTTATCTGGATCATGGGCATTCAGCACATTAGTGTACTTGTGTTTCTTTAATTATGTAAGTTTGACAGTCATCTGTAAGAACGTACAACTGAATTGCAATCCACTATCCTTTGTTTGACAGCAAATACATTTTTAAATAGTCTTTATTTTGATTGCAATGTTGGTGTTGCTATGTTGGTCTCAAGAATATTTAGAGAGGTGAAGCAATATCTTTTATCCAACCAGCATCAGTTGGTGAAATAGACAAGCTTCTGAGACTACACTGAGCTCTTCTTCCCTTTCACCAACATAAGTTGGTCCAGTAAAAAACATTACTTCACCCATCTTACAAATGTATTTAGACTGACAATATACAAAAAACATCCAAAGTTAATCTTGAGCAATCATTTTCATTGGTGGCTAATGACTGTCTTGGATAAGCATGGGCCAGCATTTTTAGTAGAATGAGGCTGAAATTGCTAAATCTTCATCTTATACTCACTTTCACATCTCATCCACTTTATTTAATTTTGCCTAATTTTGTTGTTTAGATACTTCTCTTACTATGTCACAGACACTGGCTTTTGTCTCTTTCGGTGAACAGTTCTTTCCAATAGACCTTACTAAATTATCTTGAAGAGCAAAGGGATTTGTGTAGGTAAGATCTAAGCAGAGTTAGTAGTTCAGATTTGGGCCCATATCTACAACACTTGAGTATAGGTTGGGCCTCCCTGGTTCAACACCCTGACAGGTCTCAAACGAGGGAATTTGCTGGACCAGGGAAGGTCAGTTCTGGTCCCCCTGCTCAGCTCTGCTGCCAGTTGCCAGGCCCCCGGACTGGCCACCGCACCTCAGCCAGGCTACCACTGACCCCGCTGTGGCTGGCCCTGCCACTAGCCCCACTGCAGCTGCTATCCCTGGCTGGGCTGCTACCCCCAACAGGTGTCCAGCCCTGGCCTGGCTGCTGCCAGCCCCACTAAGGCTGTTTATCCCTGCCTGGCCAGACTCCTGATCCCAGGGCCACCACCTTGGCATTCTGCTAGCCCCAGCTGGACTTCCAGCCCCAGCCAGGCTGCAGCAGGTCCTACTGGGGCTGTCACCCCGGCCAGACTTCTAACCTGGCACCACTGCCCTGGCAGGGCAGCCAGCACCAGCCAGCTTCTGAGTCCCAACCACGCTGCCACTGACTGCACTGCGGCTGTCATCCCTGCCCAGTCGGACTCCTGGCCCCGGCACTATCATCCCCGCAGGAGTCCCAGGCGCAAGTCCTCTTTTGTCCTACTCCTGGACATCAGGGCTCTCTGGCCAAGGAATATCCATGGCCCTTCTGGACCACAGTTGTTGCCGGACCAGAGAGTCCCAGTTTTTAGTGGTTGAACCTGTAAATTGTTTGTGGGCATTTTTCACTATATTTGAGAAAGGGCTGAAAGTCAAACTTCAAACAGAAAATGCCACTGACAGATAAAATTCTTGCTCATATACACAATCTTGCATACTGTATTTTTACTGGCAATGTAGCCGTTCAATACTCACCGCTGACAGCTGGCTCCACGTTGATCTCAGGGGCTTATACTGAATAACTATCCTTTCATCCAATTTTTGTTCTTTGGACTCAGATTCTTCATCAGAATCTATGTCCAGAGCCTTTTCTTTGTAGTTCTGATACAATACCGCATTTTCTATCATGTAAAAAAAAGTACCATTAAATGCTGGAAAGCCATGCTTATTTGTGAAAGTTATTTATTTTCAAAGAGTTATAAGTAGCATTTAAACAATGAAATAAAGCAAACTGTAGATGCTACTCACAGATAGCATAAACAAAGACAAAGATAGTGTGTTATTTACAATGGGCAGTGCACAGTAACAATGGATCATTGTACCACCATTAATTCAGTCAGTAGGCATCTTTAAAAACAGATGTGTCCTTTGTTAAAGAAATGCAGAGAACAGCTTTATTCTCCCCAAATTTGTTGTGCAATGTGTCATAATTATCTCATTTAAAAAAAAATATCAGTACAGTAAGGTCACTAAAAACGATTATCACATGCACACATAGTAAAAGGTATAACAAACCTAATGCCCGAGGCAATTTTTACACTATAAAGGCTTTAAAAAAAATCATCTTCATGTTTCATTGGGGAAGGTGGAAAAATAAATCCAAATTTTTACTTCAGAATTTTAAAACCAGCACTGATCGAGACAGAACCTGTGGGGCATATCCAAGTGCCTTCTTCCAAGACTTGCTAAATATGGGGCCTGCACACTTCCATATGTACTCAAGATTATTTTCTCAGTGCTTCAATGTTACAAATGTTAACAAAAGCACGTGGGGAAGAAGCTTAAACATGGAGACTAGCTTTTTCTAGTGCTCCTGCTCTTTTCCCAAATACAGGCAGTCCCCGGGTTACATGGATCCGACTTACATCGGATCCCTACTTACAAACGGTGTGAGGCAACCCCGCACTAGCTGCTTCCCCCCAGCAGACCAGGGAGATGTGAAGCTAGCGCCCCCCCGCCCCCCCCC